GAACGCTGCACAAACTAACAAGCACACGGTCGCTGTTTAATGGGCTAAAAAAACCTCCAGACTAGTCCTTTAAAGTCCGAGCGTGGGTTCCTCCCCCTCTTCTTCCTCTTCTTCTGCCCTTTTATAGCAGCAGGTGACACATTATAACTTTCTCAAAGCTTAACCAGCCAAACCCCCACCCCGTGACATCATCCCTGTGAGATGAGCTGACCTCTGACAGACACACACACGCACACACACACTCACAGGGGGGGTTGGGTCTTTCTCTTCTTTGTCACAACACAGTAAATAGCTGGTTTTCTTGCTCTGAATGAAGTCGTCTGTTGCAGTAATCCTGTCAAAACAAAAATGTTCTGCCTTAAGACTCTAAAACCAGGGGGAAAAAAATCTGTTTCTCCTAATATTCAAATATTTTGTGTTTAGCTCTGATTGTAAAGCAAAAACTGGAATCCAAAACCACTACAGCCCATTAAACCAGTGTTTTGATGGTCGGTGGTGTGTAGAATAAGTTATAACATCTATAAAAAAAACTGTGAATGAATAAAGAGGAGTGTATGATTGGATTAAAGTTATTAGAGAATAAACTCACCACCTTACAGCCATCCACATTAAGGCGAGAAACCAGGTGCAATAGATGTTATTCCTTCACTGGGAAACATGACAAACTCAAGCAAATGTTTATTTAAACATTTGACTTTTTGGAGATATGAAATACATTTCTTCACCACTTTACTCCAGATTCTATTTATCATTTGATCCAAACTTTGGTCAGAATCAGTAGTTCCCTCTCTTATAGGTTTTGTGGTAAACATGTTCCAAACTTTTTATGATTTGTTGTGTATGAATTAAAGATAACCTGTCGAAACAAATGTGCCTCAGCAGGTAAAGTGGGCTGTCTGCTGGCTGGAAGGTCAGCGGTTTCTCCCTGAGCTCATCCAGCCTGTAAGCTGATGTGTCTCTGTGTTTATCAGACAGAAACAAGTGCACATATGAATGTGTGAATGAAGCATGTTGTATAAAGTGCCTTGTGTACTTGGGCAGTAGAAAAGCTCTATGCAAGAACCAATCCTCTGAACAATTTAACAGACTAGTAAAATAGAGTAAACTGAAGCACACACACACAATTATTTCTCCAGTAATCTATTTAAAATGTTCCAAAATTCACCAACTGCATAAATCAGCTTATTTCAGTGACTTTGATTAGTGGAAGTGGGTCTAGACCTTGATGAGCTGCAGCTGCCTGTGTTGCGATGCAGGTGCTCAAAGTTTGCAAAGTTTGCAAGGCCCTCATACCAATAAAATGGGTCAATTGGCAGTGAATCTTCACGAGTCAGGGGACAGGGTAGAGGGGGACTACCCAAAGATTCCCAAACTGTGGGTAGTGACAAGAAATGAGCTTCCTCCAAATGCTGGCTGGGCTCTCCCTTTGTGATAATACAAGGAGTTCAGTTATTCAGTGGGTACTCAGGGTAGAGCCACTACTCCAGGAGTAGGAACTAGCTGAGGTGCTTGATATTCATGGATGGATATCTTGAAAAAAGCAAACGTATTTGAGTCTTTCATTATTTGCAAGATTAGCAACGTCCACTTAAAGTGCACTTTCCTACTCAACCACAAGTCGGCGTCTTCATTTGAACTCCTGTAATCTGTAAGAAATATGTAGTGAGGCTTAAAATAAGCGGGGAAAAAAATGCTTAAGATAAAAGAGTAAATGTTCTTACAGCTGCTCAGGATAGTGTGTTGCAAAAGCAGGGGAAAGATCTGCACAGCATTTGTTTCCAGGTAATGATTCAATTCAAAACTTAAAATGTTTATTATTACATATTCTAACTGTGGGTTCTTCTCATGAATCTGTTTAGTGATTCTAAAGATTGAAACACTGCTTTTATTAAAATGAATGTTTTAAGGAAATAAAAGAAGCCAAGATGCTGTTCAGACCTTTCCGCTTTCTTCGCATCTAAAGTTATTAAAATGGCATCTTATAAATAAACAATTAAATAAATAACGTGGCACATTTTCGCTGCTTCTGCAACCAGCTGCAGAGTCGTTGGTTTCTTTTAACCGACACAGCATTCCTTAAATGTGATGCATCTTAGCCAAAACATCACTGCCTGAGGATCGGGCTCTGACTGCTGGGCTGGGGATCAGCATACGCTCTGCTGTAGCATCACTCTGTGTTCTTGGCTAGCTCCGTGTTAGCTTGTGTGCAGATGCTCGTGTTAGCAGTAGTGCAGTTGTTTCTGTCCTGGACGCAGTTTTCACGTCAGCATGAAGCTGCTGTTCTTTCATGCAGTGAAAATAAAAGTGATGTTCATATCTGATAACTGAGGAGCCTGAGTGATGTGACTACTGACTTAAGCACAGTGTTACGTTACTGCGTTACTGAAAAATGTAATGTGATTACAGTAACATGCTACTTTGCAGTGCATTTCTTCCAGACAGCATCAATTCCATTTTAACCTCCTATTGTGTTGTAGTGCACCGGTATTTTTTCCTGGTCAGGACGAGGTGACCATAAGCAAATCACATCTGCTGGCATATGTCGCTCTTTGGTGTCATTTGAGCCGGGCGTGTGCCTCAGTTTTTATAACCTTGAGCAGGTTCTGGGTTGCAGGCACGAGTGTCAGATCGTGTTGGGGTTTTATAGTGCCATATGAATGAAGTATCAGTGCAGAAGCTCAGAGTTTCATAGGTTAGACAGGGAGTGATGTCACAACAGTTTGAAATTATGAGATTTTCTGGGAAGAATTTTGAAAAAAAAAAGAGTTTTTTTCTTCCTCCAGTTTAGACTTCTTCTCTTCTTTTACCAGGGCTCACGTGGAGCTTTTATCAGAGTGGTGACGCCTATTGTTCAGAGAGACAGAGAGTATGCATGCCCTCATACTGAACACTTGCTTATTGAATTCTCTGCAAATCTCAGTGCCAACGCATTCCTTTAAATTGAATCAGATCACGTTGGAAAATGAGCTGCTGGGGATTTTATTAATAAAAGAATTCAGCTCCATATCAGCTAAAATTGTGATGTTATTAAGGCTGAATTGTGACCTACAGATCCCGACCTGCTTTAAAGCAGCTTTTAAGTCCCTCATATTCCCAAAGAAAGTGATTATTACTCATATTACCCGAGGCCAACCTCTGCAGGTCTTAAATGGCCCGCTGTGCAGAGATGGTCATGCAGCTTTAATTTCAAAGGACTAAACGAAGCCTCGGTGGGTCTCATGGTTTAGAGCTGAATGCTGTAATGATTGCAGCCTTTGCAGATTGTTTCACCGCGGGGATGAAAATGTTTATCTTTTTAAAAAATAAGATCATGCAAAGCTTAAGAAGAAAAAAAGGATAAGTCTTTTTCTTGCTTCCCTTTTGATCGTGTCGTGACCCATCACATTTATCTTGGGACCCCTTGGGGGGTCCTAATCCCCCAGTCTGGAAATCACTGCCTTAAATACTCCTTATGATCCTCGGGCTGCTCTGATGTTTAGGATTCACAAGTCCAAAAAATTGGGTCATTATAAAATCACCATCATCATTAAAACATGTAAAAGAGCAAAGTATATTAACCTGAATTATACCTTTTCCGATATGTACCAAGGATTTTTTTTTAGTTTTAAAATAATTGAGGATTAATTTGGATACTTCAGGGTAATTTATATTTTAGAAAATGTTCCAGAAGGGCTGAAATTAGAATTATTTTTTTAAACCCTACAACAAGATTTTTCCTGCAGATAAATCACTGAAATGATCATTTTAAAAAAGTTTAAAATAATAAAATAAAACATTTTTTTTTTTAAATATGGGGGATTTTAGGACCAAATGGTCCAAAATGACTCATTTTGATTGATTCATTTGTTTGCAGGGACCCAGAAATTAGTCACCCAGGTTTCAGCCCATTCAGAAATAGGATTTTTTTTTTAAGATAATTGAGGATTTGGATACTTCAGTGTAATTTGTATTTTAGAAAATGTTCCAGAAGGGCCGAAATAAGCATTTTTATAAAAAGAACACTTGTCCTGCAGATAAATCACAGAAATAAGAAAAAAAATGACTCATTTGTTTGCAGGGGGTCCGCAATTACTCATCTCGAATTCAGCAGCCCATGTAAAAAACAAACAAACAAAAAATCCTGTTCATCCTTTGAGATCTGAAGGATCCGCCCTGCGGGGCCAGTACAGGCTGAAATCACACGACTCACCTCTGTTCAGATTTTTATTTACCGCCATAAATAACCAGTTTATTACAAAACCAACTCACCGGGCAACATTATAAATAGATTTATGAAACACATACAAAAAACATCTCTCAGAAAAAAAGTGACTTTGTTGTTGTTGCAGCAAACACAACGTAAACGACATCAGAATAAATCGCACAAAAACTGCTAAAACATTTGCTGTGATCAGTTCTATCTTACAGGGGGCGGGGTAGTTTTAGACGGCTCGCGCGTCTGAGCGAGGTCACCAAAGACACCAAAGAAGATGAACACGTGTGAACTCGTTTCCTTGGTTACAAGAATTAAACGCTCTAAAATTTGTGCCAAACTCCTTTCAAAAAACACGGATTTCACTTCGAGGCCGAAGCGGTTTTTATGATATTCTGACAGGGCAGAAGGCCGGTTACGATCTCACGAAGAGGGCACGCACAAGTCTTGCGCCGGGCTTCACCAGCTCCAGTGGTACACGTGCGCCAGCTGCTGCACCCCCGGGTGCTGCTGCACCCCCGGGTGCTGCTCCGGGCCGTATACGGGGTGCAGCAGGGGGGAGTAGGCGCAGAGCGGCAGGCTCAGGCCGGACCTCAGCGTCGCCTCCAGCTCGCTGGCTGCAGCCCGGCCGCACGGCTTTCCGTCCCGCACCAGCACCGGGATGGCGACCCGGCGGGCCGACAGCAGCTGCAGCGCGTCCACGCTGTGCTCGGCGCGTGCGCGCTTCATCTTGTAGCGGTGGTTCTGGAACCAGATCTTCACCTGGTTCGGCGTGAGGCGGATCAGCCCGGCCAGATGTTCCCTCTCCGGGGCGGACAGGTAGCGTTGCTGTCGGAAGCGGCGCTCGAGCTCGAAGGTCTGCGCCTTGGAGAAGAGCACGCGCCGCTTCCTGCCGCGCGCCTTCTGCGCCCGAGCGCACCGCGCGTCCCGCTCTGCGTCCGGGGACTCATCCGTAGACAGCTCCGGGGATTTGGGATCGGCGCGAGGCTCCAAGGACAGCCCGTGCACTGCAGGGAGAGAGACAGTAAAGTAATCTGATTACTCTCTGAGACTCAGTGGCAAATTGATGGCGTGACTGGTTTGAGCTCAGGTGCGTTTTTACAAACAGAACCAGCAAAGCGACTTTAAGCTTTTTAAGTTCATTGGGAGAAAAAAAGTGAAGTGATTAAAAATGTCAGAAGCTGAATTACCGACACAGAAGCTGAACTCGAAGTTTAGCGGATCAGATTAGGAATAAGCTCATTATTTATAAGAAAGACGAACAAAATGAGGCAAAAAAACAAACAAACCGATCCAGTTACAAGTAACGTAAATAAATAATCAGTTAACGCAGTTTTTAGGAGGCTGTTTCGCGATTATTTGACGGAAAT